ATATGATTTGACTGGAAAATTGATTTTCCATTCCAAAATCGCGCATAGACACGCCCTTAGTTTGTTATTAGTTGTTAGTTTGTTAGATTTTTCTCTATAAATAAACTAGTATGCATTGTAATTTCTTAAGTTGAATGGATTAATTCTTCTTCCCTGCTGCAATAGCAGGTTTCCAATTTTAGTTTCTATCCATTTTCGTTTTCTATCCTTAGTTTTTCTACATCCTCTGTGTGTAAATTCTTGGAAATTATAGCTTATAGGTTGTAGACATCTGGTTCGGTTTTATTTCTTTCATTCCACGTACTTATTAAATAGAGTTTTTTATTAATGAAATTTTACTCATCGAAGAAAAATGGAAAAAATGTCATGGTGAATCTGGTTGAATAAATGCACATTTATGGCAAGTTGTAGTGTTTGCTTAACCATAAATGTTATGTGAAAGTAGACATATTATAACATAGCGTACAAATATAATTGAAGATTATACTGTCAAAGGTTATTGTTTCGTGTTAAATCCCTACTAGTTTGATAATCTAAATCCCTAGTAACGAAAGTGTCACGTAAATGTTAAGTAGTTTGATAATTTTATCCTTTATGTTTTAATGTCCACATCGACGATTTTTGTCACTTTAATAAGACCCAGAATCACCCTTCGAAGGTTAGAAAGTTCCGTCCTAATTTTCCCAAAAACTTTGTTAGCGTTTGTCGACAAAGTTCAGCATTTGGTCTAGGCTTGCGAAAACATATGCTACTCAATATAACTACACATAAAAAATACATAAAAGACAACTGCGTTTATACTTTTGAAAGCTGTCCCAAACAAGAAAATGGAAGAAATCATAGGGTGGGGGGGGGGGGGGGGGGATTTATACTTTTGAAAGCTGTCCCAAACAAGAAAATGGAAGAAATCATAGGGTGGGGGGGGGGGGGGGTCATATCAACGGTCAAATCAACCTCGTCTAATTTGAAGAAAACCAACATGTAATTTATACAAAAAAATGCCTAAATTACGTCGACAAGTGGTCTAATACATCCATAATATGTACTATTACTACACGTTGATAAGATATATGACTGCTTCCATATTCCCTGTATTGTCACGGTAGAGATTGTAGAATGGCCTACATTTTGTGCATTTGTAAAAGCAGTTTCAAGGGATTTGCTTTTGACTATTGAATTTTGAACCTTGGAAGTATCCCATGTGAACTTCGAGGAAGATGTTGGTATTTGGCCCTACGTGGAAACATTCAAGATGGAACTCTACAAGATGTTTGACAAAATTTTCCGAGTGTTGAATCTCATACCCTGAATTCATGCATCTTGTTTTGTGGTATCAAAATGAATCGAATCTCCGGCTAGTAGCCATGCCCTTGGCAGTACTGTTGGTCTTGCATGCTGCCTATCCACTTCATTTTGTGAAAATGTACAGGCCACATCGAGTCTCTACCCAAACGGGTCAACCTGACCCGTAAATCCAAAAGCGTCAAAGTATTTTCCATTAGTAACAAACTTAAGAAATGTAGGCAAATAAAGAAAATTTCCTTTTTTTCCAAATTTGTTTATCCTTTGTATAGTGAAGTTAGATATTAGTCTCTCACGAAATGTGTCTGAATCTATATTGCCTGTATTTATAGTTCATATCATCATTATTTTATTTTATTATAGAGAAATATTTCGTTACATCTTGTTTCTTATACAAATTTAATTTTAGTGGTAATTACACCAAACCATACTTTGAATATTCAACTTTCTGAAATCAGATTGGAAGTTTGATATTTCAAAAATTAGAAATTTTTTTTTCAATTAATTTTTTAAAAAACATCTAGTTAATACATCACAAACCCTAATTAATTTTACTCTCATCTCTTTCTCTACATTTCTCCCCCAACCCCCAAACCCGTTTTCTCTCTATCCCCTCCCCTCTCTCGCCGTCGTCGACCCCGCCACCGCCACAGACACGATCTGAAGCGGTGATTGAAACGCTGTCAACTAACCCTACCTCTCTCCCACCTCATTTCCCCAAACCCGTTCTCCCTCTCGCAGCTCTTCTATCTTTTGTCGCCGTCAAGATGAAGTGGTGATTGGAACAACATCATCTGTCGCCACGACATCCAAAGAGGCGACCAACGCAAATGGTGGCTACAACAGTGTAGATCGCGATGGTGAAGTTTTTTTGGTTGTAGGATGTGGTTTTCCATATTTTGGTGGTTTTGGGGGGTTTTGGGTTGTGGTGGTGGTACTGCAGTCGTGTTGAGGTATCAAAGGTGATGGTGGCACTGGAGGGTGGCGGCGTTGGATTTGGTGTTGGCGAAGGCAATCTGGGTTTTGTAGTTTTTGGGGTTTTTTTTTTGTTGGTTGTGGTAGGCATTGTGGTGTGTTGTTATGTGTGCGGTGGGTGTGGCCGGATCTGGTGGCGATCTACAGTAGCTAAGATCTGGCCGTGAATGATTTGTGTGGTTGTTAGCGATGGTGGTGGGTCCAATGGCTATTGTGGATCTGGCAGTGGAGGTGAGTTTTGTGGTGACGGTGATTTTGTTGAAGATCTAGACAGCGGTGGTACAGGTGGCGGTCGACGGTGGTGGTGACAGTGTCAGTGTTAATGGTGGTTGTGGTGGCGGCAGCGGCGACGGCGATGCGGTTGGTGGCATTGGCGAGGTGGTGGTCACAAAAAAATCGCATAATGGACTAATTGTGACCCTAAAATTCGACAATTTGTGACTAAAAATTAATCTGTGATCAATCAATTTGAAAATATGTGACCGATACATAAATGTGACTTCAGACTTGTAGTTTTTTGATCCGTGATCAAATAAAATAATATGTGACCTATAAAATTATCGATTTGTGATCTCGAAATAATTCGTGACTTACAAAATTTTTGATCCGTGGCCGATAAAGAAATTGTGACCTATAAAATTTTTGAACTGTGACCATAAAATAAGTCGTGACATATAGAATTTGTGATTTGTGATCAAAGAAAAATATGTGACCTATTAATTTGTGACTGATGAACAAATTGTGACCTACAAAGTTTTTGAATTGTGATCGTAATATAATTTGTGACATGAAAATTCTAATTTGTTATCGAAAATTAATATGCGACTAATTAAATTGTGAATCTGTGATCAAATTGTATATATATGTGACTTTAATATATATAAAATATATAATTAATTAATTAAATCATAAATAAATAAATTTTAATAAAAATCTAATTTTGGAAATTCCAAACTTGTTTTCTTAGTTGTGAAATAGGATATACTTATCCTCTTAGATGTGACATTTTCCCTTAATTTTATTATAGGACACTTGCTCATCACATGTCTCATAATCTCGTACACTCCAAAAAAAATCCATTAAACTCCTGTTTTTCAGCAGTCTTTTAAGAACAAAGATTATATAAATATGCGGGGAGGGAGGGAGGGAGAGAGAGAGAGAGAGAGAGAGACAGGCAGAGAGAAGGGGATGAAGAGTGAAAGTAAAGTTTGTGTAGTTTACTATCTCTGTAGAAATGGGCAGCTTGAGCATCCTCATTTCATGGAGGTTTCACTCTCTTCTCCAGATGGTCTTTATCTTAGAGGTACATGAAATTACATACATCGATATAAACATATATGTATGCATATGTGTGTATATAAGCATGAATACAGAAAACCGTTTTTTACCTATAATCCAATGATTTCAGATGTGCTAAGTAGATTGACTTTACTCAGAGGAAAGGACATAGCTTACATGTATTCCTGGTCTTCAAAACGGTAATTTTTTTTTTATGTATATCTTTACGTTTTCATTCTCTTTCTAAAATATATAGAGATAGTAAATAAATTCTCGTCCTTACAAGTTCACTAAGATGCAAAGACACTCTTATTACGGTGGTGTTTTCATGATCGGCACTCCTTGAACATTGTATCACATAGGAGGGTCAAAACCACACACCATTTCCTATTTTTCATATATTTTTTAATTTCTTATGCTCAGAGGACTACTTTTTTAAAGCAAAATTTCAACATAGTCTCAGTGAGTTTTCAGGCTCCACCAAGAAAGATTGATAGGGTTTAGGATGCCTTGAATGTATATGAATATACTTAGATACAATTCTCGGACAAGTGTTCATCATGACCTATATTAAAAGCTAAAAAGAACAAAATAAGAATAATATAGTTTATATGAATTTTCAATCAGGGTAATCATATCTTACTTTTTGAAAAAATCACATGTTGTCGTGTCCGTGCATCTTAGCATGGTTCAAAGGTTGCGAATTCGGGCATCCATCTAAGCATTTACGGAAATGTAAATTTGAGTTAATAAAAAACGAATCGACTTGCATGATAAAGAAGGTTTTATGAAAATTGTGCATATGTTCAGGCCTTTGATGAAACTAACCACAACTTGCAAACGAAACGGTGATTTGAGGACCAGGTTTCAATAATCGAATTGATTCTTTTTAGAAATTCGAGCTTTTAGATCACTTGGTTTAAGAGAAAAATCTAAAAGCTAACAAACTCTTCTTTTTTCTCGAGTAATTCTTGGTTAAAAACATGCATATAATGGTGCAGAAGCTACAAGAATGGATACGTGTGGCATGACTTATCTGAAGACGACATGTTAGAACCCACCAATGGTAACGACTACATTCTGAAAGGATCTGAGCTTCATCAAAGCTCGTCCACGTCGCAGTCAAATGCCCTGAGTTCAATCTCCGTCACTGCAAAAAGGAAGAAAAACCAGTCATGGAGTTCATTCGAAAACCCTCATGAGCAGGAGAAGAATAATTACAGGGTAATCTATAAATCCGAGTCTAACCGAGAACTTGGTAGGAAGTTCGATGCTGCAACACAGACGGAGGACACAACAGGGAGGAGGAGGAGAAGCACAAACATGAAACAAGTGGAAGAGAAAACGAGTGTAGAGACGATCAGCTCAAACGGTTTGAAGTATGAAAACGGACACATAGGATATCGAAGTTCTGATAATGGAAAAATGAAGGCTTCTCATGTTTTTAAGAAGTTGATTACTTGTGGATCATCTTTCACTATTAGTAGACACATATAACCACGATACGGTTGAAAGATTATATAAAGAGAGGCCTCCTGCAAAAAAATACCAAAATCATTATCTTCTGGTCTTTCACATTGAGTTTGTCCTACTAATGCTGATGCTCCCTCTGTTGCTTCAATGTTTTCCAAGGCAATGGTTTGATTTCATAAGTTCATAATTGATAATTTCTATAATATTAAAAGAAGAATAACGGAAATCATCCCCGGAGTGAATATAGAGACTAAGAAATACGTGAAAGCAGTTTCTTGTTCTTAATTTTCAAATCGAGCCTCGATTCTTCAGCATCTTGATGTAACTAGTCTTTAACTCCTTGTTCGGTTTGATCTTCTCACGCAAAGATATGAATTACTTTTTCTTCTTGATGAATTTTGTGATATGATATGGTATGAGAAGCTAAAAAGAGATCCATTGATTGTCTACCCTTGTTTTGTATACAAAACTGTCAAATTTAAGATTAAGAAATGCCGTTGTTTCTTCAGGGTGTTTTTCTCTTCTTTTTCGTACAATTTCAGACCATTGGCTTGTAATCTCATCCAATTTATCTCGTATATTCTTCAACCCTCATTTTGTAGTCCGAATTAACTATTAGTTATTTACACTTCAATCCCTAAACTTTGAAAATCATCATTTTCACCAATTTTTCGTTCTTTTCCTCAAATTTTACTTCCAATCATTGAATGGTTTCTAACAAACAATAAATACACGAAAATTAGCAATAATTTATCATAAGAGATCCTAAATATTCCCATATAATGGCCTGGATAAGTGTATAAACACTGCCAATAGGCATATGCATCGAATCAACAAAATCTGACACTGCATAAATTTATAACTTTCTGTGAGTACTTAAACGTAAGAGATTATAACTAACAGAAATTTAAGAAAAAAAATTCGAACTATATTCACAACAAAATCTGCATATTTTTGTCCTCTACTTCATATAAGGAACTGAAATTATAAAAAAAAATGCAATAAACAATGGAGTCTACCATCTGAAAACGTCATATATATATATACACGGCTAATGGACTCAAAATTTAAGTCAACCCATGCATGCATTTGCATTATTAGCCATCCCACTAAAAGAGTAACTTTGTAGTAAAGCCTGAACCTTGGTGGTACCAAGAGACATGGCGAAGTCGGCCCAGTTTCCACAATGCTCGCATCCTATCAAATTTCCATCTATAATCATGCACAGTCAACATCAAAACCACCAGTGTTCTCACCCTATGGCACTACCTAGAAATGCTGAAAATCTTTCATATTATAAATCCAATCAAGAATGACAACCAAATTAGCTTCTAATATATGCAGGGGAAGGTATTCAATATGTACATGTAAATCTGCTTGGGCCAATCTAAAGCCCGTCAAAGCACTCTGCAAAATCTCTCTAGAACAATAATGTGCCAAAAACAAAAAATGAAAGAATGGGTACAAAGAGATATGTCCAACCCCCACGATAGCCTGCATTAGAGATGATCAGGATATCAGCCTTTTAACCACTAAAATATCAAATAATTTTCAGGTATCTCAGCCATTCAACAAAGGAGAAAAAACCTCCACATTTCCAACCAAAAAGCAGGGAAAATAAGTTATGAGGACCATGACTCAGAAACAACAAAACATAAAAATATTACACAAACAAAGTATTTATCAGGCAGTTGACATTGCATTCATCTACCATCAGTTAATTAGCTATAGCATAAGCATTTCTCTCGATCAGTATGTGAATCACAAAAAACTTGTTCTACTGCTCTGCTCTAAGTCCAGATTTGACAGATCACGATTTTGGGAATAAGTTTAGAAAACACATAGGTTCTTCACATCATAATTTCAACCCTCATTTAAAGGGAAAAAAGCAGCCTCTTTCTTCAGTTCACATATTGAAGAATTCCAAGAAATGTTTGTGAAGAAAAGTGAGATTAAACAATAGTTTTAGGAAAGTGGGAATTGTGCTAGAAAACACTGTGCGGAAATACGGGAACTAACTTTCTGAAGAGATGTGAAGTTATGCAAAGCATTCAGAGCGTGTGAATGGATTCAACAAAGGGAGAATGAAAATCTGATGCATAGAGCCCTGCATTTAACACCCATCGTTACAGAAAATTACACCTTGAATGTTACCTCCACTACTGACTAGGTGGTACTTCAGAAAATATGGTCAATGACCTAGCAATGTCCTACGACGAAGGACTGCATTTACTTGATTAAGCCAGACAGTTTACTTTATATAATTCTAATAAGTAATAACTGTTTGTGATGAAAACTAAATTAATGAGGTTACAGCATACACATAAAATGAACGAAAGTTGTATACCAAAATAAATACTCACCAAGATTACCCAATGTCTCAGATGTTGGTAGTGCTGGCAAGGACATCTCTGCAAATTGAAGAAAATTCATCACAATATCTTCATTTATGAATTTGTATTTGAAGGATCATCAACAATTACATTACGTCTTTCGAACCCCATGAACAGGGGATATTTAATGAAAAGATTAACATATAGTTTTTCAGAACCATTACCAGGAGCACAAAGAGATAATGAAGTGAGAGAAGATGATGAAGGCCATGGAGCTTCAATATTGTCGTTCAAATCACAAGTAAAGCTTAAGCCTGCTGACTTATCATACACCAAATCTGCTGGCAAGCTTCGAAGCAAACACCCTGAGTCAATGTGAAAGTATTCATCAGCAAGAATCACATAATATTTTACCAACAAACTCCTAGCTCCTAGGAGTGCCACCTCTCAATCTCATTTGAGAAGATATGTGACAATCCAGCATAAGATAGAAAATGCAATTGTATATAATTATAAATACGCTGTTGGCTACAAAGGTTCTCATCAACTGAGCCTCCCATCTTCAAATTGTATGACCAGTAAAACCAAATCAGAAGTTGTAAACCTTTGGTACTTGATTAAAGAAACCTTTCTTTTTAGTTTAATTAGTTCCCCTTTGGGAAGAAAAGATATGCAGGTGAAGAGCACAATCAGCTAAAACTTGGTCAATCAGTCACCAACAATCCTTGAAGATTGGAGTTAATAAAAATAGAAATGCTTACACATGGACTTTGAAATATAAGAAAATATGTCATCACCATATACACATAAAAAGCCAGTATACATATTTTTATCTCTTGGTAATCTAGATGATGATTCAAGAAAATATTTTATAAAAAGATGGAAAGAATAAAGACAGAAAGACGTGTTTCCCCATGCTGAGCACATAGTTGATATAATAGGCAGTTCCAACTACCATTTTACTAAAATTAAATCAAATTGATAAAATGTAGAGTGACTAAAAAAAAAAATTGTGATTAAATCATTAATTTGGTGAATGATTTCTCGATAGACATCTGAAGATATTATCAATGACAAAATGAAGGGAAAGAGGCAAGGTAAAAGCCATGACTTTGCATTCTAAAGTATCCCATAATATCCTCTCTATCCCCCAGAAAGACAATCTATAAATGAAAGTCCAAAATTTATTAAATAGCTTGTAATAGGAAACCTAAACATGCAACATAGGGAAAGAAGATCCAATAAAAGACAACATAAAAGTGGAGGAAAAAAATGACCTTGTTGTCCATCAGCTGCTGCTCCAGCAACAAACACAAGAGAGAAAAGAGAGAAAATTAGATCCAGGAAACTAATAACTTCAATAAAAAGATTCTAGAATGAAACCTTAATTCAAACACATACTTTGGAGACTAAAATCTTTCAAGTCCAGGTCACAAAGCTCAAAAATATTGGTCATCACCCCACCCTTCTGTAGCATGGACCCCAACCTTGTTGCACAGATTATTGCTTGGCGATTTGTTATCAACATTTGCTTTTGTATTCCCGCGATGTAAGTATTTAATGAGCTACAACATGAAGGGCTTGGAGCAGCTACATTTTTACATGCTACAATCACTTCTGATGGCTGCTTTAAAGTCAATGGACAAGCTACATTCAAGAAGGCAACTATTTATAGGAATATATAAACAGAACTACAAGCAGATAGTACATCCACATCCTTTAAAGGGCTGAACCATAAAAACTGAACTGTCATGCATCTCCACATATTCTCTTTCTCAACAACCTGTTGATCATCTGTTGAACGCCCTGACATTTTAACTGTCTTCCTTCACTAGTAGTAGGCATCTTAATATACAGGTTAGTTACTATTTCATATTGTGGGGCGCACTTCTAGTTAAGAGAACTGATTGTTGATTGCTTCATAAACTAGAAAACACCCTTCTTTGATAAGCTGCATTTACAACTTCGCGAAGGGTGTATTACCAAAGCTTACAAGTTTCTCTCTTCATTCATATTTAGGAAGGAAGCTAATTATAAAGACTACACAAATGCAACATATAATTAAAAAATGGAAGAGAATTTAGATCAGCATGATGTTTCAGCAAGTAATATCATCAATGTAAAATTCTAATTTCGAAAGCAAGTTTGAAGGAGGTATAACAGTAACTTTTTAACTCTTCCAGACCAATGTCCCGGTGATTTATCAACAATTATCTTATTATGTTATTCCATGATACTTGACGCACCAGATATGATCCAAAACTTAAGAAGAAAAAAGGTTTTGGTAAATGTCTAACTCGTGCGAGATTTCATGTAATGATGAATAGAGGTACGACAAAGGAATGATATGGTTAGTAAAGTGAAAGTAGCATAAAGCACTCTCAAAGACATGGTTTGTAACAAGATAATCAAACAGCCAAAAAAATAAAAAACAAATAACATAAAGCACACCTTTGTTAACCTTGCAGGCAGACAATCTACGGAATGCTGTATTAGCAGCATCGTGTTGAAGTGTCCTAGACATCCACGAATACACCACCCCTTTACAATCATTAAGCGTGTCAAGATGATTCGTATCATTATTCACAAATGATTGCATCCCTGATATCTTAAGTGCAGCCTCCATAATTGCAGGCTGACAAATTGGTCTGCAGCATTCTTTAAGCGGATCGACAGTGCTGCAAGCCTCCA